TAATAATAATCACTGCAAAAGTAAGTATGCTTCCCTTTCTTTTCCTTTTAAAACTTTTTATTCGGTCTCTCTTCCACCGCGTTGGGCGCACATGAGTGCCAAAAAATGTGAATAATAAACATCTCCCATCTTCGTCGCACAGTGTGAAGGCCAACGCGCCACTGGAATAGATAGCAAAACCAATAAAAATGATATATAAACGAATGGTGGTAAAAAAGTGGAGGCGACAACTTCTGTTTCCTGCCAAAGAGTGTCGGCCGCACCCCCGCCGTCAGAGGAATAGACACAATAGAAAAAAAAACGGGAAAATCTTAGACAAGGCGCATACGCCAACAGGTTGGTTCTTTTTTCGTGCTGTTAGCAAAGTTCCTTCAACCCCACTCTTGTTCCTTCTCTTATTCCTCCGGTTGTTTTCCTGCTCGTTCTTTACTCTCGCTCATCAGAGTGGAATTACTAGGCGCGGTGAAGCAATATTTCTCCTCTTTTTTTCACCTTTTCTTTCTCTTCTTCTTCAATTCTTCACAGATGATGTCTGTCATGTGCAATGCCCTCGGCCAATTCTTAATTCAATTTCATCAGCCTCACCACGCCCTTCTTAGTCTCAAAAGAGCGCGGCGCGCGGGTTTGTGTTCGTGCGAAGAGAAACAGCGGTTGAAAGAAGACGTTTGTACGTGATACATATATCTCAAAAAAAAAAACATGCAATCTGCTTTACAGAGAGACATCATCCTGCACAAATACGCACGGACAACACCCATCTCTTGTATGGAGACGCCTCGCTGCCACGTGCATATTTATTCCATCTCTGTTCTTTTTTTTTTTTCGTTTCTCCGTCTCTACTTTTTCTTCTTCGCTCCACCACCGTTTTGTTTCCTCCGTTACCCATTGCATCTGCCGGAAATTGCTCCTTCGGCCTTCTCCTACCTCTTCCCTGTCACGCAACGCCCATAGGCAGACTGCCGGGAAGATGTACCGCCCCTCAAAAATTGGTACAACCAGTTAGCGTCCACTAAGGACACCCTCCCATCCCGTTGCACCCACGTGGCCACATGCTTCCCACCCTTCAAGCGATCGATGGGAAAGAGATGAGGGGCGCAGGCACACACACACATACAGTAAAAAGAGCAAAATAAATAAACATAAATAGTACCAATATTTTTTTCAGCGTCCCTCTGTCCTCGTGTTTTTTTTTTCCTTCTTCTTTCTGCTTTGTTCCCATTTCTTTTCTTCCTCGCATGTAGATGTTCTTTTTTTTTATTTGTTTATCGCAAAAAGATGGGATGAAGCCTGTAGCTTCGTTGCTGGGTTTGCCTCTTTCACTTCTTACTTCTCATTTCTGTCTTCCCTCCTCTCGTTTTATTTTCCCCCATTTCTTCACCCGCACCATCTCATTCCGACCTCTCTCCTCCCTGTTAGCCTACTCCTTTTCGCCACTGCCCTGATTTGGGCGACGCCGGCCACGGCGAGCAGCCGCTGGCTTGCGCTGCCGATGCGGTTCCTTCTCCCCTTCAGTGCCCCCTGCCACATCCTCCGCACTCTGCGCCCACTTGCGATTTTCTTGGTTGCTGTCGGTTTTGCGGTATGATGAGGGCGGTGGGATGTCACAGGCAGCACCGCCGCGCCCCCTGCCACCACCACTGCCCCTGCCGCGATGATGATGCTGGGGGGACTGCATGGCGTCGCCATTCCCACCGTAGCCGGGGCCATCTCTATGGTCGTCGTAGCGGCGGCGCTCGTGCGGAAAACCATCGGAGAATCCCCTACCGCCACCGCCACCGCGATGCTGCTGCTGATGGTGATTCATGTGATGACGCTGCTGATTAAAGGGATTGTGATCACCGCGATAGCCTCCCCTAAATGATGACGACCCGCCACCACCCATGCCACCCCTTCCACGGTGCGGCATGTACATATCATTCGCAAGCATTTTCGAGAGACGCATATTAAGCTCTTCCAGCGCACGGTAGTCGAGTACCCGTGCCATGGTAACAATGGCCTCCACAAGCTGTTCCTGTTGAATGCCTTGCATATCTTCTCCTTTTTAAACAAATATGCTTGTTGTTCTGGTTGCTGTTCCTTTTTTTTTCACTTTATTTTTTATTGTTCCTCGAAGTATGTTATTTTGTTCGTTTTTTGTTTGTATCTTTTGCTTTCTTCTCTCGCCACAGTGGTTCCCTTTAATGACCAATTTGAAATGTCAGTTCGTTTTGCTGCTTCCGTTGCGTGCCAAAGGTGTTCTGCCTAACGTTTCCTTCTTCCTTTTAAGCTGCGTCTCGCACGGAGGGCAAAGAGTCGAGGCGAGCAAGAACGAGAGACAGGAAGAAGAAGAAAAGTATGAGGTTGTAAACTGGCCCTCTACTACCACCGGATGGGCAAGTCAACACACCCACAGATGCCTCTCGGGGTCTTTCACCGTCGCCGCTCACTCCGGAGTTTAGCTTTATGCCGCTGCTAACTACGCCTGCGCTTCCTATGCCGCCTCCCCCCACCGCACACACACACACACACGCATCCTTTTGTGCTGCGTCGCAACAGAAGAGTTCCCCGCACCAAATATTACGCACAAGCCCCCATACAAAATTCAAAAGAAAAAAAGGACCTTCCTTCCTTCCTCTTTTTTCTTCTTGGTCGAAGTATTAGTAGTAGACGGGTGGTGTCGTCGTTATTCCTCCTCCTCCCTTCCCCTTCCCCTCGGTGCAGCTATCTACTTGTGTCTCTGTGTGTGTGAATGTAATTGAGTGTTGCCTCCGCCATTCCGAATACGGGTCGTGCAGCCCAAGATCCACCTTCCCCCTCCCCCCCCCCCATTTCTACCCCACCGGCGTGCCGCGGTCTCTCGCTACGGACACAACACGCTTGTGTAGGCTTAGTGGTGGTCATCATGATGGCTCCACACGTAGCGGTGGGGATCCAAGACGAGATCGCGAGCGTTGTACTTAATCTGCATCGCCGGATACTCTCCCCACCAAAAACCAATGGAAAAAATGAAGAACATCCAGCATGGATCACGGTTAAACTGCGAAAACCGCCGCGGAACAAAGCCACCAAGGAACATTTACCTCTTTGCCTTATTCGTAAGACTCCTAAAAAAAAATATCCCTCAAATACTACAATCTTTCTTTATGTCTTGCCTTTGCCTTCCCTGCAATGTTGACTTCTCCCACAGAAACAAATATATATAAAAAGGGGGAAAAAATATACTTGGGGAGCTCCACAACAAGCAGAGGAAGAGGCAAGGCAGTTGGATAAGTAGGTGGGGCAAACAAACTTCAGCTACCACCTGCTGTAACAACCATGCGCCTAACGTGGACTCCTGTGTCATGTTGGCTGCTAACACCTGTGAAACGTCAAAAGAACCTTCACAGTGCAAGGAGGCAGGTGGAGTCGCGGTCGCTGTCGCCGGCGCCGTCGCCCCCAGCAGAAGCAGCGCACTCACGCAGGTACCCCACCCCATCCCGCGTCAGACCATGGGATTCATGATTAAGCGCATCAGCTCCCCGTCCTCAGTTTTCTTTACCTGCACCACGAAGTTCACGGTGTCTATTTCAGTGTTCCCGGTAAAGAGAATGAGACGCAGCATACCGACCTGCAACAAATACTTCTCCTCCACTGCGGACGGCGCCATTGATTCAAGGTGCACGTCCAGTCGATACGATGCGCCTGGACGTAGCGTCGTGACACCATCAGAGGGTGTGTGCTGAAGCGAGGAGGACGCAGCGTTGACGAGGCTTCCACACTCCGAGCACGCCGTAGGCTTAAACAGTGGCACAGAAAAACGCCTGTACGAAATATCCGCCTCAAACAGCACCGCCCAGGCAGGGTTGATAACGGGCCTTAAAACAGTGTACTCCAACTTGATCTGCAGTGAGGCATTCAGCGGAGAGTAGCAGCGCGCTGCCTGGCTCAGCGTCACGGCTGAAACTACAATAAAAGGCTGTTCCGCCATCTCTGCGCACATACCCTACTCAAGCACTCCAGGGCAAAGGACATATACATGCACATACAGCCAAACAGCAACAACAACAGGAGAGCAGAAGCAGAATGATACAAGAGGAGTTTCAACGCAACGTCAGTCACGGGGCAGTGTAAACGGGCAAAGGGGGTAAAGGAATGGACGGAAGAAAAATACACCCTCCGCAAACTCGACGCACTGTGTCAAAGAAATCTTACACCTCAATCAAGCGTTACCAATTCCGAAATAAATAAGGTGCATTTTCTTTTTTTTTTTACTTGAGTTTTCCTTTAATTGCCTTCTCTTGTTTGTCCATTCCTTTCCTTCCTTCCTGATCCTTCTTTGTTTCGTGTTACTTTCATCCCCCAGCACATGCTGTCTTCTCTACACACCGGCAAACAGAAGCGAGTTGGTGCGTTGTTCACAGCGACGCACGAAGAGTGCGAACGATATGGTGATGGCGGAGACAGCTAGAAAGCGGTGGAAGTTGGTCCAAAACTGCTTGTGTGACACACCGTCTGGGAGGGCCTTTGGCCCCTGCACTCCAGGAAACATCATCTTTCCTTCTTGTCCTTTTAATAAAGCGGCACTGCCTTGCTGTGTGTTGCTTGCAGCGTGGCAGACAAATAAAAAGAGACAAAACCAAAGAAGAAAAACAGAAAAAACAAACAAACTAAAAGTGCATAGTAAGAAAAGGATGAAACATGCAACCTCCTGTAAGGAGTGTAGCCTCAGCTGTGGTCTTGCCCCACTGTGAAGCGTAGGGAATACAATAATACAGGGCCCAGCAAGGGAGGCGGGCGGGCGGGCGGGCGGGCGGGCTGGCGCGTGGCGGAAAAAGAGAGCAATGAAGAAGTGAGGTGGAGTCAGCAGTCACAATTTATGGGAAATGTGGTATTCACTCGTCACAAGGGTAAAGTCACGTCAAAGGAGCATACCAGTACGCAGCATCATGCATAGGCAACGACAAAATGGCAGACACGCACACACGCGTCGGCCAGGACTTGGTGTGTACCTTCATCAGTTCTAAGCTGTGCGAAGACAAAGACGATCCTCGGGGAAGATTGGAAAAAATACATCGTATACATTAGGGAGGCACGTGAATACATGCACGCCACCGTGGAGGAAGTGTGATGTCACAGAGAGAACAGAAGTAAAAGCGCCATTTGCAAGAAAAACACAAGAATCGGAGAGAAAACATATAAAAGGTGAGTCAAGGCGAGTACCCCGCACACACACATAACCCTTGTAACTACGAGACGTACACACAACCCCCGCGCCGTGCAGGCATCCATTAGAGACCACACAACCCCCATAACCCAGCCCTCCACTCCCGTCCGCAAATGTACAAAAATCAAAATTAAAAGTCAAATTTCGCAAGGCGATTACCACCAAAAAGTCCTCCATAGGAAAGGAGAGGACACTTCTGTGCGTGTGCGTGTTTATCTCTCTCGGCGCACGTGCCAAAGGAGACGCAGGACACTCTTACAAGAAGGGTCCTCACGCAATACTGCACCATAGGTGAGGCCCAGTGTTCCTCCTCACATTGCAGCCTCCAACACTGCTTCAGCTTCAGCTACATACCCCAACGTCCTCATGCGTTGCCATCGCAACAGCCACAGAGGCGTCATACGCAGAAACACATATTCCCCTCCATCACAGCAGTGAAACACCCACAAAAACTTGAGGAGCTGAAAAGGTATCCCCCCCTCCTCCCCTATTACCCCAGATCTCTCTTGGAGAGACAAACAGGGGGAGAGAGACGCGGCAAAATAACAAAAAAGATCACACACACACAGAAAAAAAAACAAAAAAAATACCTCACAGTCGCCACAGATGAGATTCCCTGATTTCCCGGAAAGAGAGGCCAACCCAGCAGTGAACGCAGCCTGCGCAATGTGGCGGCGGTGGGCTTCTTGAGCACGCACCACACAAAAAAGTCCAAACAAACAATAAATAAATTCGGGCTGGCGACCAAAAGCGCGGGCACACACATACATTACACAGAAGGAAACATCTACGGGCACAAAAATCAAATTTTGATTTCCTACATGCATGGAAGTAGTCAACACCCTCCCATTCCCTCCCACGCACGCGCAGGCGCTAGTACCTCAAGAACAAAAAGAGAAAAAACGACGGTGTTATGCAAGCAACGTGTGCCACATCACCTTTCTTATTTCATTCCCTCACTCTCACTCTCCCTACGTTTTTTGTTTTTGTTTTTCTGTTACTGATAAAGAAAAACCAAAAAAAAAATGAGTTCAGCTGTCATTGCCAAAACCCAAAATGCACCTGTGGGCACTGCAGATGCAAAAGGCCCTCTCTTTACCTCTATTCACGCATGGCCCATTCCCAATAATTCCAGCGGCATAACCACAGAGGCCGGTGCTTCCGGCTCAGGAGGACAAACCGCCTACAGACTCGTCAGGGGAGACAACGCCTTCATTAACCTTCGCCAAGTCATGTACAATATTCCGCAGGCTTTCTTTTTCGTAGTGTTGATAAATAAACCCTTCCTGTGGCGTAAACTCAAAGTCATTAAAACCGCATGGGTGTGAAAAGACCAAATTGCAGCTGCCAGAGCGATCCCCCACCATCTCACTTCGCAGAATGGCATCCATGTGCATAAGTGATGAATGCAACATGGTGGCAAACACAGCGGCAGAGGTATAAGGGTGCGTGCGGCAGGAGGTGATGACAAAATCAATACCCTTTGACTTTATCATATAGCCAATGCCGTACCCTGAGCTCACCACAGGGCCAAAGCCAAAGCTGTTAAGTGCACTGCTTCCACAATGTGAAGTAGACATCAGCCAAGTCGCACTGCTATGAAAACACCTATCTTTGAAAAGCTCAGGTAAAGGGATACCATGCATTCTTGCCATGACTCTAAGCCCGTAGAGGTGTCGGTCCACACCAAGGCCCTTCTTAGCCAGCTTCATAAACTCCGTGTGAGACTCAATTGCGGTGTGCAAAAGTTGCTGCTGTGTCGGCACGTACGATCCTACGCGTTTGCAAAAGATGGGGTCAGATGCCGCGCGACAAAAATCCCATACGGCACGTGAGGTGCTTCGAACGCACTCCGTCCGTCCGTGAGAGAAACTACGTGTGCTGGCCGCCTCGTACGTGGCACAGTTTCGCCCAAAAAGACGGTAGAAGGTAAGCTGCAGGGCCACCTGAACAAAGGCGTCTGGTGACAAACTCATGTGTTTTATGCGAGCGCCCCCAAAATTTTGAAAGTGTATCACATGCGTTTCATAACTCTCAATCAAAACCTTAAAGTCTGTGAAGGCTGCCTTCATGAGTTTGTCAAGCCCATTATCAAGACACCATTGCAGCTCTGACACCATTCCCACGGGCAACTGCACCTTTCCCGTCTGCTCCAGGAGGGCCTCCACGTCTTTGTCCAAGAAGAAACGTTCGCAGTCTCTACGAAACATGAAGTCCGCGATGTGGAGCGCCGTGCCCCCATCTCCTACAGAATGCTCCCAATTGATACCGGCAGATCCGTCTCGAGTCACAATAATATTGTGACGATCAAACCAGCGGTTTGTTCCCGGGCCATGGAAGAAAATCCTCGCAGCCTCATCAGGCGATGTCACCTCCACCCCATCAAGGCAGAGACAGAATATCGCAGACTGAATCGCCTGCAACACCTCACTGTTGCCCAACGCCTTCAGGCGCTCGCGCGTATGGAACCAGTCGGTGCGGTCCAGCGTGGTGAAGAGGCCAACTGGGGCCCCAGGATCTCTGCGCGACGTCGCACAGTCCACAATATGCTTGAGTGCCAACACAAGCTCTTCCACCGAACACTGTGCGCCATCTTTTAGCACCTCCACCTTAAAGAATCGATTGCGGATAATGACCACACAGTGGGTAGGATCCGCGGCAACATACTCGGCAAACTTGGACTTTTGCTCATCACTTGTCAAGGGTCTTGTGGAGTAGCATATCTTGCGATCGCGACGGAGGCCGGGAACGCGAGAGGTAGAAAACGCAAAGCGATACTGGCTCATGCATACCGGTGCATCTCGCTCAAACTCCTTTGCTATTGTGCCATCAAGAATGGAGAGATAGTACTGCGTCGCTGCGTGCAGTAAACTTGCGGCGCGTCCCACCTGTGAGACTCGGCATGACTTATTCAGCTGTTGGGGGTGCGGTTGAAGTTGAAAGAAGTAGTTGACATTCACTGGGATAGGGTCACGTGTGCAGAGGTAGGAATCATCCCAAAATTCCTCCAACCAACTCGGCTGGTCGCATGTATTATCCCATTTTACCAAGAGGCTGTGCAGGAGCTCCCCGGTGCCCCCGGGTTTCAAGAACTCTTCCGTCAACTTGCTGGTATGAAGGTATTCTTCCGAAGTTGCGATGGCCTGAATCGACTTCAGGTACAAGTTGCAAGTGTGCTGTAAAGAAGGAATAGGTAAACGAGGGAGGGATGACTGATGTTCCTCGTAACTTGACGCCTGCGCCTTTCTTGGCTGTGTGCGCGTATCCGTTGCGCCGTTGGCACTCAGCACCTCATTCAAAAAACTCGACGATTCATGGGTCTTCACGGGGCTCAGGAAGCGTCGGGTTCGCACTTCATAGGCCGAGTCAAGTTCCCAGAATCTGTTTGCATTAGCTGAGTTTGCAGGTGGCATTTCGTTTCCCTTGTGTGGGTGATTACTGAAGAACAAAAAAAGAAAAAAAACAATTCACCCCCTTACATCCAGAGAGAGAAAGAGAGAAAGAGAGAGAGAGCAAATTAACAACAGCAGCAAAACGAGAGAAACTCATGGCGATGGAGAATCATACAAAGTGACGCTTCCAGCACACAACACTAACAAGCAAAGGGGAAAAAACCATAATGGTGTTACTTTTTTTTTTCTCTCTCTTTCCGTTGGTGGTGAAGAAAAGAAAATAGGGAAACAGGGGAAGCGCAGACAGCTGCTAATAATACAGACAAGAAGCCTACCAACGCCAACGCACACACAATTCAAAAAAAAAAAAAGAAGGGGAAAAAATAAAAAGAGCAAACAAAACCCACATCAATTTCGCTGCTCTGGGTGATGCGGAGAGATGTCGAGAGGCGTGTCCCGATGCGCCGACGAGCCATGCCCCGTTTCGCGCTGCAAGAGCTGCAGAATCTCCCGCACTGTGTCACCCACCTTAAGGTCAAAAAATTTCACAGTGTGCAGCTGCTCGTTAAGCACCAGCGCATCCATTTGCTCCGTGCCCGTCATCGTGTGGTACTCCTCCCGCACAATCTTTTCCATCAATGCCCGCCAACGACGCCGCTCGGCCGTGATGCCTGTTGAACCCAGCGACGACATATCGTATGAGGCGACGCCACTCTCACCCTTGGCGTGGGCAAGGTAGGCCTTATACAGCGGTGCATACTCCTCAAACTCGTCGGGCAATTCAATGGCAAAGTGTGTTGCATCCTTGCTGCCTTCAGCCCCGTCCGCGTGACCATCAGCAAAAACTTCTTCATCCGCCGCGGCGAGTGAATGTGTTTCTTCCTTCGTGACAGCTCCGTAGTTCCTCACCCGCGGTGGATCCTCAAAAAGCAAAAGTTCAGGAATGGAGGCAATAAAGGCCGCGTCATCGTCCACGGCGGCGGAGGGTTTCCCGCTTGACACCGGCACGACAGAATCGCCCGCCCGCTCCTTCTCTTCACTCTCTGCCAACACCTGCCGTACAAGTTTTCCCTCTGCAATGCGCTCACGCAGTGACTCATCCTCCGCCTCAAGAGAGTCCATGTCCAGAGCGAGAAACATGCGGAAGTAGGCCTCACGTGCGGCAGTTGTTTCGCAACCGTAAATCACAGCGCACGCCTCCATCAAAGAAAAAAGGTACTGTTTGTCCTCGCCGCCTTTCACGCCCTCTGAATTATGCGCCACCTGTCCCTCCAAACGGCTCTGCATAAAACTCTGAAATCGGTCGCAGAATTGCATCCTCTTCTCATTAAATAAGTAGCGTGCAGTGAGGACCTCCCGTGTGTTCGGATCAACGTCAGTCTGCATGCGCACTTGATCGCTGGGTGCCCCAGCGGCACCAATAGCAACCCCGCGTCGCTCACGGTTCATCACGCCCGCAAGGTGTTGTCGCCCGCGGCGCAGCTCTACTTCGCTATATGTCAGTGCACCCACCTCAAAGCTCAGCTGGTCACGGTGCCGCTTCGAAACAAACTCACGGTGAACCATCAAGTTGTGACCAAAGTCCTCTTCGTACTCAACCGTCTGCTGAAGTGGCATGGGACGGTATACTATCTGCAGAGCCTCCTGCGCGCTGACGCCGCTTGTCGGGGCGGCGCCGCCACTTGACGCCGTCGGCGACCACGTCCGCTGCCCCCACTTCCGCCGAGCCGCGCAGCAAACGCACCTCCGCATTACAACCACGTTCTATTTTGCCTTGTTTTGTTTCCTGCTTGCCTATTTTGTGTGGGTGCGTCCCTAAATTTGTTGTCGGTGTCGCAGAGAAGGTGAGGGAGAGGGAGAGAGAGAGGGAACGGTGAAGGCGGCGGTGGAGGAGAGACATAAATCGCAGTGAAGGCCAAAAAGACAAAAATAAATAAATAAATACATAAATACAACAACCAAATCCTCCACTTCCCCCCACCCCCAAACAACAATAATAATAAAACTCCTCCTCTCCGTTTTCCATTTTTTTTTTTTTTCGTCTTCCCCCATTTTGCCTGCACCACATGTCGCTTCGCTCGTGCCTCACATTCGCATATAACATGCCCAAAAATGAGTTCCCTTGACAAAGACGCAGGGCAGTTAGTCCACCTTCCCTCCTTGCCGCGAGTGAAACTCGAGCTCCATTTCTGGGTAACCGGCTGCTGTGCGATGCTTGTAGAAGAGAATCCGCTGTGACGCGAAGTATGCATCGGCGAGAGCAGAAACATCGCTTGGATTGTCGGCGCTCGCCCCGGGAGGGATGGGGAGGGGGGAGCCGACGACGAGCGTTAGCGGTGTGCGGTATGGAAGCGGCAGTAGCCACCTACCGTACGGAATGATTGGAAATGGAAAGCCCAGTACCTTCAGGGTGGCACGCTGCATTGTAGGCGCGGAGACAATGCTCAGCACGTTCTGTTCCGCAAAGCTTACCACAGGCACGAGGGGCACCTTGTGCCTCAGTGCCAGTCTCACGAAGCCGTGGTGGTACGTGATGATCGACATCACCTTGTTGCTGCGCTTCGTCAGAATTAACTCGGCCTGCCCACCAATGACGATGAGGGGGCTATTGCCGCAGGAAAGACTAGATTCAATGGCGGCACGCGTCACAGACAGTGCCCCCAAGCTCAGGTTAAAGTCGCGTATAATTGGAATATTGAACATGACGCTTGCCCCATGTGTCGAAACGTAGGTCTTTGCATTGTGACCAATTTTTTGTTTCCAGGCCTCGGAAAATATGCCGCACAGGGCACTGCCTGCGAAGACACCATGCGGGTGAAATGCGAAGATGTACTGATTGCTGCTGTCCCGCATGTTCACAGATTCGTCCTCTAGAATAACACGATAGCTAAAGTAATTCCCAATGTCTCTGAACAGGTGCTTCTCTGCCCAGGTTACAAACCCCAAACGGCGGCATGCACCCGTCTCCTCAGGCTTCCCATCATACGACGGAAGATACCAAAGCCAAACCAACAGTTCCCCCGCATCTATAGCGTAGTACCCCAGCGTCGCTAACGCAGAAAGTGCTGTATGACTCTCCAGCACACGAAAGTACTCCACATAGGTGGCGTACCCGAGTACTGCGTAAACACCAAACCTTAACAATGTGCGAAACTGCCGAAAAGGTGCAGCCACACTCAAAGCCAAGGTCACAGCTCCTGTGTAATACGCTCCCACAGAGTGAAACGGCAGACAGAATGCTGGTCCGTATATAATGATAAAAGAAATAATCGCTACGGAGTACACACCGCACACGACGACACACTCCCTAAAGGCTACTAGCTGCCTCAGCACGCTAATGCTCATGACATGTGGCACGAGTGAAAGCAGCAGGGCAAGGACCACCGCTATCACCGCCACGGGTATCCAATATTGTATGAGAGGCAAGAAGCCGCTTTGCACACCGTGCATAAAGAGGTATACCAAAAACAAAAACGCCATAGGTGTGGTCATTCCAAGCGTCAATATCATGATCTCTGACACGCGCAAAACGACGTTCACCATAAGCGATTTACGACGTCCCCATGGCTCATCTTCATCGGTGTCAATGTCACGGTGCGGTGTGTGTGCCGCCGATACCAGGTGCTTAGTGGAACGGCCGAGGGTAACCAGGACAAACGGCACGGCCGCCACAATGCTAAGCGCCATGATAAAAAAGGGAACATGCGAGCGCCGTGTGGAGGGAACCATGTCTACATCAGCAACACAAACGGCATCCAACTCACGAAAAAACTCCTGTGCACGCAGGTAGAGATGACCAAACAAGAACGCACCGATGAAAACTAGCACTGCCACAACTCCTTCGCCATTCTCCTCCAAGTACGTTTGACGCCGGGGCCGTGAGTCAAATTTCGGAATAGAGACCAGAATAAGTATTTGACTAAAGACTGAAAAAACCGCTCCAGTAAAAAGTTTGACGGTTTGACCCTCGTCTTCCAGAGTATGAATAAGTGTCAGAATAAACGTACATGCGTAGCTCACCCAACCCGCAATTTGCAGTGCTACAAACACAGACCCGCCCTTAAAAAGCATGAAAAAGGTATATTCCCCTGTTTGGCCTTGCAACAACGCCCCATACCCGCAGTGGGTACCCACACAGGAGATGGTGCACACAGCAAGGCCACCAACGGCAAAGACAAACCCGACAAGCGGCACTGTGCTTGCCCAAAGCGCGGCGATAACATAACCCGATGCCGAGGTAAAGCACAGCATCATCACCAATAGAATTGCTGCACCGTGTCGACTCTCAGCCTCTGTCGGAAAGAGTGGCAAAACATCCTCCTCCTCACCTGTGAAGCAAATATCTTTCATAACTTCCATTGCTTTTGTTGCGGTATGCTTTCCTGGAGTCGGTTTGTCACCGAGGCAAAAACTATCTCGGTCGTAGTGCATGCCGTGAGCTGAAAGAGTGGACGCAGCTAGAATCCGCATAGACAATTGCAGCGCCGCCCGCTCATTTGCTTTGCGAGCATCAAGGCTCTCATCCAGTGCCGCCTTGACGCATTGGAGAGCTTCCAGCACCATTCTTCGTCCACGCTGTCGTGGGATGGAGAAACGCACCTCCATGACCACGGAGAGAACAATCAGCACCAGGGGCACCAACTGTAGGCACCCCTCCAGAGTGAACCAAAAGTAGAAAGGAGATTCTAGCGAAAAATGTATAGCGTCGAGGTCATTCAGTGAGATAACACCATCCAGAATAGCTTTTAGCAAAAACAATGCATACCCAACCCATCCCAAGGCCTGTAAGGCGATGTAGGTGCCACTACCTCTAAACGGAGCAAAAAAAGGAATATCTTTGCTTGTGCCAGAGTAGTGAGCCAGAGGTACACTCACCACAAAAGCCAAGGATGCAAAAGTAATCAGTAGACGTTTTTGAGCAGAGGAAAACGCACTGTTTTGCGCTAAAGATATATCTATCATAAGTCGCAAAATAATCGAAGCCAGTTGAAGCAATAGGCTGACAATCAGTTCACCAGTGATGGAGCCTTCCTCCGTTTTAACATCGCCTCTTTTCAAGTTTCCCGCTGCCTGCTCCTTCGCTACGCAGACACCTGAAGCAAAGGCTTCAATAGAGAATTGAATAAAAAACTGCCCCATAGCGCCGGCAGCTGTAGCATAGAGAATCCACCGAAAGTTCGTCGCTGTCATGTGAAATGTCATGCAAAGAATACAGACAGCAAAGAAGGCCCAACCAAGCGCTTGAAGAAATATAAATCCCATTGAACCACGAAAGGGCTGAAAAAAGCTAAAGGCCTCCCCGTAGATAACGCGCCCAATCAAGTGCGTCACGGGAGTCAGTGCAAGTAACAAAAAAACGGATAGAGTTTGACAAAACAAGAAACCCTCTGTTAATGCCTGTTCATTCCTAGACCCTGTAAATGATTTTTCCTCACGTTTTACGTAGTACATGATACCAATTGAAATACATGCCAATGCTGTGGCCATGGCTGAAAAAAAAAATCGGGCGTACTTCGCTACAGTGGACTGAAAAGAGTCATGACTCTCTTTATACAGTGATGTTCGAACCAGCACCAACTGCGACAGAATACCAACAAAGGCTGCCAAGGCTACCATTCCAAATGTCATCTGTGGGGCCTCCGTCCCTGTGCGAGTAAGAGTTATTCCCCCCACAAGAGCCAAAGCGTACACTAGCCAGGAAAGCAAACAGTACAAAGTCTCTACAGGTCCTCGTAAAATATTGAACCCCTCTGCTTGTTTCCATTTAATCAATAAATAAATAATGATACCACTGATCACATGAAAAGTGGTAAATAACACCATCGCAGGCGAAGATAAGGTCCGAAATAAGGCTCCAATATTGCAAAGAAGCAGCTGTGACAACATAAAAATGACAACCAAGCCGGTTTCAGAGTTTGGACTATGCAACATCCACTCCAGCACTGACCCCTTGTCTGGGTTATCCATAGAACGCTGCGGAGTTCCTTCCACGGGCCGGTTTCGAGATTCTGAAGGTGTGAAGTAGTGAAGTGACACAGCCAGCAAAATATTCCCTATGGATGCAAATCCCTCCAGTATCGTTAGCACCCCGTACCTAAATGTGGGTGGCTCCAACTGAATAACGTATACAATCATGGCAGCTGAAGCAGCTACCAGGAGCGTCCACCCACACCCTTGTAGCAATACATACCTTTCCCCGCCTGCAAATGGTTGGTAAATGCTGAACGAATCCCACAAGCTGTATCCAAGGAGAATAGAGAGTAGGGCACAAAAGCCATTGAGTCCTACTGCTAAGCTTGTTGTTGGAATCAACGGTATAGCGGGATCATTGCCTTGAAATGCATCTGAAAGGGCACCTGCGGTTAATGCCACAACGAACCCAAGCATCCAAGCCACTCCAAGTGAAATCGTGGAAAATTGTGGAATCCCCAACGCACTTGCGTAGCGACGAAGCACACTTTCTCGCTTCCGTGTTTGCATGGGACTGAAAACATCATACTGTTGAATTGAATGCATAGGTAAGAGCTCTCTACGAACCACAACACCGCCTTGACAGTAAAAAAAATAATCATAAAAAAATCAAAAAAATGGGCATACGAAAGAAATGTGTGTGCTTGTGTATATGAAAAGCAGGCTTGCACTTGAGTGGTTCACGATACTAGAGAGACCATGTCACAAGCACACAACAAAGATATATATATATATATATATATATATATATAAGTAAGAAGAA